GCAAGTCTGAAAATGCCGTAGATTTCGAGAAATCATTCTCATTGTGCGAATAGCCAGCGGCAGTCATTCAAGATTGGAGGCAATTTTAAATATACACGAAGTTGCAACAACTGAACGTCTAATGCAGGCAATTTTAAATATACACGAAGTTGCAACAACTGAACCGTCTAATGCAGGCGCATACCTGGGAAGTTTTTTAAACTCAAAACCCGCATATTTTCTCAGACATCAATTTTTATCATTTCGAGTGGTTTGGGAAGGCAGTAACCCTCCTGTTGAGGCTTTCATATGGTACCTAGTGAAAAGCATTTTGGATTCCATCTCATGTAATTTTTCGTGCTGACAAGATTATTTCCCTTCGCTGATAAACGAATGATCACTGCTGCACTCACTTCTTTGTGTTTTCAGTGAAACATTCAAACGGCGAAAAGAAACAATGACTATGAAACTTGGGATAGAGACCACATACTGTGCTCCATACTTGAATTCAAGGAAAGTCTACATCGTCCGGTATCACATCGCTCTTACTGCGCAGATGGTACAACTCGTGAACAGCCACGAACTCAGACGTTCCTGCGGTGTTTGTTTTACTTTGCAAAACGGTGAACTCAAGGCCGTTGATGTTTAGCGGGTGCTCAAAATTCTTTACAGGCTGCCAAAAATCATGGGTTAATTCGGGACAAGAATGAAGCTGAGAGCGGCAAACTTTATCAACAGGTGACTGGATTCCATCAACATTTTGACGTGTTATCAGGTCCAAATCATTCTACGATGACACCACGAATACTATGCGTCTCTCCAGCATCAAGTCGAAGTTGCAAAATGTATCAACGTCCATTACTAACGTGAACCCCTTTCATAAAGCATCTGGGCATGATGCAGAAGAACCCTCCAAGAATGGTGAGCATTTGATAATTTGGTTTTTGTGCAGGCTGCACTTTGTTTTGATCGAACATATTAGTACTTTGAGACACCTTTGAGATTAGAACCAACATGAAAATAGGACTGTGGCTCGAAATGTACTCATAATAGCGGCTTGTTATGGAAACCCATGGAAAACTTCCGAATTCCCCAATGAACCCTTGGCTGTGATAGCGATGTCTGCAGTTTTTAGAAATGCTCCAAGTAGAACCTGCCACTCACGCTAGCGGATATAGAGTAAAATTTAACTGACGAGTGGGTTGAGTTATATCTGCTGATGTTGTGCTGATGTTGTAGTAGACTAGAACGGGACTTCGTGCTTATAGCTTCCAGACAGAATTAAGGGATGCCCGAAGGCCAACATGATCATCCATCGGCATCCACTATTTCATTGAATGTTCCGTAACAAGAAGCGCAAAATATGTTAACCCCCTGAATTTAAAATGGTCGAGCACGGGGCGTGGCATGCTACACACAAGGTAGGTTCGTGAACAAGATAACAAATCACCTCATAATGCAATGCACCAACCATCCATTGGTCTGGACGAGGCTCATTGAAAATCCTTAATGATTGTTTATCCAAATGCTTCCTCTAGAGCTAGTAATAGATGTAGCTTCTCTAGAGATTGCCAACGTCGGTTGCTTCAAGTGTATTAATCAAAAGTTAAGATCACGTTTGGCTAAAGGTTGAAATATGTTGTAAACGTTACTAAACTGCATCCAGCGTGAAAACGATCCCTATGTTGCTCTCGTAGCCGATGCTACTATATGCCAAGTCCTAAAGGCACGACTGGGGATCACCCAAATAATATTGCCCTTGTCCCATATAGTATGAATAATTAATAGTTTCACCGAGTCGAATGATTTTAACTGTATCATCTAGCTAGAGCCTCCATTCTGTATTGTGGGTCTGACTTGTCTTGTCTGGATAGAGCCGAAAAATTCCGCCTAGCTTTAGACAGACCAGTCATTGCTGGAGTAGCAAAATATTTTTTATGTATACCGTATTTATGCGCAAAGAGATTTTACGACCATTGTCTACATAGAAACGGTTATTTTAGGGGTCGGCTTGTGGTAGCTTGCCCCCATAAGGAATGGTTAAGGTTTTGAAAGAAGTTTTTCGTTGATTACGTTTACTTGGGTAAGAGAAGAATGAAATGTTTGGTAAAAATGAACAGAAATAGTTGATCTGCGTCGGGATGGATTACGCTGACAGCTGGTCACCTAGAGTGTCAAGAGACTACAGTGTATTGCGTCATTCATAAGCCATAAACCTGCCAAAAAATATTTGGAAGTTTTTTACAAGGGGATGGCTGTCTGTTAATCGGGGAATCAATGAAGTTATGGCTGATGCTGTTGTCAGCAATGACAGTTTGCCCTGCGGCTACCGAGTTTACTAGCAACTGCTGTGGTGGCGTAAGTTATCTCTTCTAATTTAAACTCTGGCGGAGGATACCTCAAGGACGAAGTTCGATATTATACCTACAAGCTTAATAGATCTTCAGACTCTAGATTTTAAGCTTTACCGTTCAGCAGATATACGCTTAGTTTTTAATCGCGTGCCTTTACAACCAGAGGGTTTCACGAAGGTCTTGATCGTGTTCTGTAAAAAAAGCTCTTGTTTGTTGTGCACAGCCGTTCCTGAAATCCAAACGTCAGTCCGGTAACATTTTGTCGTGGAAAATTTTCTTAATTAAGCAATGAACTGTTTTCTAAATGGAAACTATCTTTTCCTCAACCGGTCCTTGGGGCAAACCTAATCATATATGAAAGTCACTCCTAATTTTCTGAACGGTGCAAACAACTTATGAGACTACTAGATACAAACCACTTTGTCTTGGAAACTAAAAGTATAACTTTGGCTCATTTTTAAAGAAGGCGGTTCAGAAATCTCAAACCAGTAGACTTCACCGCCAAACAAAACACCTAGATTTGGGCTACGTCTGACATGTCATCAGATGCTTTTAATTAAATTGTCACATAGTTTGCTAACCTTCTTAACTCCCTTTTTAAAACACTGCCAGATAGTAAAATTTGGTAATCTTGGATTTGTCATCCAAATGGGGGCTATGGATTCTCGGGAAAACCTGCTTATCGTTTGTGCTATGGAATCATTTCTCATAACTACAATCTGAATCAAGACACTCTGTTGTTTCCGTGAATGACAGTAAAACCTTCACCAACAAAGGCACGCAGATAATTTTATTTATCTTGTCGCCACGTGGGTGTTGTAGGAAAGGATTATTATTAGGATCCAAGCTAAACAGACAGAATTTTGGCCACTCAGTTCTTTGTGCAAATTAACTCCTTGTCTTAGTGCGTATTGTTAGCACAGGGATGACGTGTTCATAATCTGCATATGCACTGGTTATGCCAGTTTTATCAGTTCGTCTCATTTTCTTATCTTTCAATATGCGCTAAAATTCAGTTGAAAAAATGCCATTTCCGAACCCAACGCTATAGGGGTGTGAGAAGAATGCTAGTTAGTGGTCACAGTCTAAGAAAGTTTTCACCGGAAAACAGAATAAGGCTAACCTGCTCCTTTTGGCGCATCACGAAAGAAGGTGATACAAACTAGTTAGAAGCTGTTTCAAAGCACACCTGCTACCCAAAACTCCTAGATATCAACTAACAAAGCCCCTGAAAGGCCGGTATTTAGATACATAGGTTTATCTTTATCTAATTTGTATGCATAAGTACGACTTTTTGTGGCTGGGTCGTGAGATTTCAACCCCCCCTAAC